TAATTCACAGGGAATTCTCTGAGGATTATTTCTTATTTTCAATAATTTCCCTACCATTAAAGCTGTTGCTCTCCTGCAAGGGAATGTCTCAGCCCAGGGACACAACATACAAATCCTGACTAATTCATATTTCTATCCTTGAGATGGTGCCATTTGGATAAAATCCAATTACCATACCTCAAACGGACCTAAAGGAAACAGGAAGTGTCCTTGGGACCCATGGAGTGAATTTCCAGGGTAATATTTTGAACAGAAAGAACATGTGCTATACACCTGATGAGCTACAGTAGGTTTCTAATAATATTCTTTGCTCTATGAAACTATCTTTTCAAGGCCCCCATATGTTAGGTCTGTTTGGGTGAAAGTTCCCTCTTTTGTTGCCATATTTTCTTTTCTTCTGCAGCTGCCCATTAGAGCAGTAAAAGTCTTTCATTGATTTAATAGGAAGAAATATTTTTAAGTCTGGATAATTTGACTGTTTATTACTGTCGGTCTAGCTGCAGTATCAGTCAAATTATTATTTTTCTTTCTGTGATGACAGCCTTAGAATGTCCTGGAATTTTGATAATTGCCAGTTGTTTCGGCTGCTGGATGACATCTAATTTAAACTCTGCAACCTGTTTTCCATTCTTATGGGCTTCCCTAAGGAAGTTAAGAAGCCTCACTGCTTCCACAAGTTGTGAGCTACACCAAAGGTATAACAATTATCAGTGTAAATATTGGCTATTTGACCTTTGGCTCATTTACAAGCTTTTGTTAGATCATTAATTCAGCTTGTTGGGCTGATCTTATTCAACTAAATAAGAAACTTAAATTTATGCTTACCGTGGAAGTTATTGCATATAGCATAAAAATAAATCATCCACGCTTCAGATTAGAATAGAATTTGGGGGGAATTCAACATTATTCAAATCAGCCTTTAGTATCTGAGAGAAATAGGTGGGACTCTATACCCCTGGGGCATTACTGTGCAAGTAAACTCTGGTCTTCCCAGGTGGAAAAGCAAAGAGGTATTTCCTCTCTTTTTTTACAGGAATGCTGAAACAAGCACTACATAAATTTATCACTAAAAAAAATATTGGCAATACATACAGGATAGCTGATAGGGTATGTGGATTTGGAACCACAAGATATTTATTTAAAGCTGAGATTTTGTGCAAATCTCCATCCTTTCCCATTAGGTTTCTTTACTGGAAGGATAGGAGAATTACAGGTGCCCATACATGGAATTATAAACCTCCCCACCACTTTTTAAGACAGTCTTGTACAATGAGCTGGTGTATCTGGCCTCAAAGGATATTGGCAAATATTAGGAAGAGGCAAAGTATTATCAATAGGTATTTTAATAAGCGTGGCTGACTTAATCTTGCCAATCAATATCTGTACTGGAAAAAGCCTAAAATTGTATTAGAACATCCTTTTACAAACATTCTGTCCGTATCACTAGTGTTCTCTTCTGGGGCTGGTGGGGTGACTCTGAGGTGGCCCTGGACTTGCCCTGTCTAAAATCTGGCCTGCCTGTTAGTGCCTAGGAGGGAGTATGAACTCCAGCAGTCCTAAAATACAGAAGTTTATGTAACTATTAGCAAAACTTAGTTCTTAGATTTAGTTCTCTTGAGTAACTAAAGACCTAATTAAGACAATATAAAACATAGAGAAATATTTTTATGACAAATAATTTTTGCCTTTCAGGCAGAAAACATTTCCATATCAGTAGCAGACCAACAGTCTTATAACAAACTTTGTTTTACTTAGTAGAGAAGGAAAACTTAATTTTGCATCAGCTTACTCTTTTTTTTAAAGATTTTATTGGGGAATCGGGGAAGGGGAACAGACAAGTTGCTGTCCTTTTGTTCTTCAGTCTAGTTGTGGAGGATGTTGCTTCACTGNCCAACTCTTCTCGCTCAACAAAGACGAGCTGAAGAAGGTGTGTGGGGAGGAGGGCATCCGCGTGTACAGCCAGCTCACCGTGCAGAAGGCCGTCCTGGAGGTGAGCCGGCTCCCCGCCCGCCTCTGCCTTCCTTGCCAGACCCGCTCTGGGACCCTGACCTGCTGGTCCCCTAGGCTGAGACCGCCCTATTCCTGTCCCTAGAAGCAGCAAGGCGGATCGGAGCTTGAAGAACTCATGAACAAGTTTCATTCCAAGAACCAGAGGAGGATGGAGGAAGACAGCTAGACCTGGCCGCGTGGGCCCACCATGCCTGCGGCTGGGGGGTCGCACTGCGGGGCCCACCCCCGTGCATGGAGTATTATTTTTGTATGTGTGTGTATTTTGTACCATGGACACAGGGAGTGTGGTGCTGGCTGGGGGCCAGTTCACCTGTCCTCAGGCTTAGCAGTACCCCAGCCCACGCTCACCCACCTGCCCCAAGGCCCACCTCAGCCAAACTTGCCTGTAGGTGCCAGCCCCTCATCCGCCTGCCCCCTGAGGCCAGAGCTATGGCTGGCCCAGCCCCCTCTCTGCTTCTCCCGATGCCTCTCCCGGAGGCCACAGAACATCCCTTTTTCTCTGGCCTCCCCCATCCACATGAGGGTCCCTGGCGCTTGTGACTCTGCCCCATCCCACCTGCGTGACTGCTCACATCCACATCCACCTGCACCCCCACACCCCTGGACAGGCTGTGGGCCAGAGGGGCAGCAGACCCCAGCTGTCCAGCCACCCTGGGCTCTATTCAGGCCAGGCTGGTGACCCTTGCCCGGATAGAGCTCCCAACACCCAACCAGTACACTGCTCCTCGGGGTGCATGCCGTGGAGCGAGGATGGACCGGACACACCCGAGTACTGGTCTTGGCACTGCCCTTTACTGACACCGTCGTACCCCCCCGCCTGCCCCCCCC